GAAACTAGAACTTGGACCAAGTTCTAGCATCGTGGACACAGGCCTTAAGGGACAGGATTAGGACTAGATAAGGCAGTAGAAGTAGAAGAGTATGTTGAAATTAGCGAGTGTATGCGATCTAATGTATGGGGGGATAATAAAAGTGCGAACGAGGTAAGGTGATAATTGTAAACCAAGTCCCACTTCTTGGCATGTACACTGAAGTGTAATAAAGTGATAGATTGATATATTATACCGTCCACGCCACCGAGCAGTTGCGCCAGGAGTCCCCTCTCTATCGTTTGAAACGTGATTCCTACTACGTGACACACGAACTTCCTTATCGAATCCTGGAAGCCTACGATCCTGTCGCAGAGCTCCGACATGGACATAACCCTGTCCCAAAAGTGCTGAAAGTCACATCGCTCCAGGATATCTCCCAGATACATGATTTGACTAATGGGACTCTCCGACATCTAAAAATCGACGCAGCCGCGTGTAGATACACTTTTGCAATAACAAAGGGAAAGTATCTTGAATGCCTGAACGAGACGTACAAGTTTTTCGCTGAGCAAACACTTGCACAGCACGAAATCGGTGTGCGGTAGATTGGTCAGTGCCTTGAGCAGTATCTGACACGTGATATCCATGTTGAATCGGTGCGGGTTTAGCTGGTAGAGCTTCAACACGGCCAAGTTTGCCTCCAGATCGTACGCGTTCTCCCTCGACTGTACTTCCACATACTTCTCTAGAGTCGCGAGGTTGTCTGGATTGTATCTGAAAGTACATTTCACTGTAGTTAGTACGGGAGAGAAAGATCATTAATTCAAAATTAAGAGGGTACGAGTACTATCGCGTTGAATTTCTTATTCCGGTGCGGCAACGCACTTGCGGGAAACACGAGCCAACATGTGTCGTCGTCGGGAAAATTTATTCGTACGGACGATAAATGTCGCGGGAGTGAAAGGCGTTACCTTTCGATGCCTTTGAGCATTCCAGTCACGGTTTGACGCATCGCCTCGACCATTTTCGATGGAAAAGTCTCCCAATTTTCGGCGTAAACTGCACTGTCGCGGACGACACTAACCTCAAACAACCGAGAGCGTGTCCATAGACATAACGTGGATAGGTAGAGGCGGCTTCCGTAGTTCCGTACACAGTATAACCCATAAGGTGCCTTTTCATACGCAGCATGCAGCAGCAGCAAATTAGTCACGTGATCCAAATTCACTAAAGCATATTTGCTGTTCATGGAAAAGGAATAGCTGCAGCAGCACTGGCCGGCTAGATCGCGTGTCTGCTGCTTTGCTGTTTGTTCAATTGAACTTCACAGCGATGAAGCAAAATACGGTGAAATTTATTTTGCAGCATCTAGTAACAATTCTTCAACCAATAGCAGCGAGTTGCTGCGGCAGTATGCTGCGCATGAAATGGTACCTTTAGACATAGGA